TTTTATTTTCAAGCAAAACCACTATTTATACCTTTTAATGAAAAAAGCCCTTGTTTAGCTTTAATGCACTTGTGGGGGATAATTTCACTCACCAAAAAAGAACTGAAAAAACTAGGAAGCATTGTTATTTGCAAAACCTTATTTTAGTATAATAACTTCTTCTGGGGTATGGCCAAACTGGACTCCAAGGATGCCCTGATGTCTAAATAGGAATTTTACAAAGAAAACAAAACAAGTGTGATGTTTGGAATTGAGCGCCTGTTTGTTTGATATCCATAATTCTATTTTTGGTGAAATAATTTTTTTTTAGCTTCTCACAAAACTTATTTCAGTAGTTGTATAAACGGAGTTTGGTTCTTAATCCAAACAGGCTATCAAAGTTATTTTAACGTTCAAATTAAAGGTAAAGTATAGAGCAATATCAATATTAAGAGGCAAATTGTATGCGTGGGAGAATATCTTATTTGAGAGTGTTGATCCTATATTTAAAAGGTGTGGTGTATACTTACTCAAGAAATTGCTCGAGGTAATGAAATTTATAGTATAAGGATTAAAGGAAATTTTATCTTTTTATTCGATGATAATGAAGAGATAGAGAAGATGATCTCTACGAGTTCAGATACTTGGTACACACACACACAAATAAAAAGGTTAAATAAACTTCATAATTGTTTCTAAAATGACCCCAACTCGAAATCTAACACGAAATTCAAATATAGCAGGAAACAGTATGGTTGTGAGTAATGTTAATTAAGGATCTTGAGCAGTGAGTTGGTGCACAAATTTTTACACTTGGTGTTTTTTAAGAGTTTTAATTAGACTTATTCATCTCTATCTTCGAAAGAGTATATAAATGAATGAAAGGGACAGCAATGCGTGCAGCCAAACTAATGCATGTGATGTGGGCATGTAAGAAAATTCAATTTCTTGCTAGTTTATCAAATTCCCCATCAACCTTTTTCGGATTAACATGGAAGGTTTTATCCTCGGCAAATAAGGTTTAATTTGTTGTGTGAACCAATTAAAGCTACTTTTTACCATAGACCTATTAGAAGAGGGGGAAAGAAGACCAATAATTTATCACCAAAATTGAATAGGGACACTTTGCAAAAGAAAAGTGTCTGGTAAGAACTCAAATCCTTATCTTAACTACAAAAAGTTGTTGGACCACTTCCTGTGTCGTGTTTAGCTGCATATATAATAAAGTTAACCAATATTTACAAGGCATTCAAGGCCTTGAACACGTAGCAATATAGTCACATCAAATATCAGATTTTCAAAGGTGTTGGTTTTTGATAGGGTCATTTTGCAAATCTCTGGTCAATTATATGATAGTTCTCATGATAACACACAGGAAATTTGGCTCTTCTTTTGAACTCTTTAGGGTGCATACTTAGCTATCAAGGGTAATTCTTCCTTAGATTCCTAGCGTGCTTAGAGTTTGTTGTTTTCTCTTATTGCCATTTGATTTGATTTGATTTTATTTTATTTTTCCACTAGAACAGCCTAACTGCTTTAAAGGGCGTATTATTACTTTAGTTATCAAACTTTCGGTTGGATTTATCCAAAGTTGGTCCTTATAAGAGAAATATTGTTTGTCTTTACTAGAATACGAGTCAACAGAAAAAGATAGTAGTAACCAAGTATTTGACTGAAGATAATGATCAAAATATTAAGTGAATATAACACTAGACTGACTCTGACTTAGAAGAAGATTGTTTTACGTAATGTTCAAAAGTGGGTTATACATAATTGAACTTCCTTTTGTCCTAAAATGTCGTAGGATTGACTCTTAGGCTGTTTCCATGGGTATATCCTTATAAATATGACTCTGCGATTAATCTTGAACTAGGGAAGTACTTAAGTAAATAATGGTTTTTTACTTAGGGACAAAGTGCTTGATTAGTTTACTGGAAGAATCGATTGTTTCAAATAAAAGAAAAATAGTTGTAGTTAAATGTGCATGGATTCATTTAAATAATTACCATGACCGTCTACACAAATTACGAAATCGGTTCTGGGTCCCCTTACATCAAAGCAAACAAGCAAAAAAATTAACTTTCACCATCAAATAAGTACATATATGTAAAAGGACAAAAATCTGCTGACAGTAGAATATTGATTGTATATAAGTAGAATGCGAAAATAGGAAGGATTATTAGATAAACAAGCATACAAAATTTAAGGTCATTCTCTTTGTTGGTTGACATAAAACATCCTAATTTTGTATCTTTGATGAGCTTTTATTTGAGCTTATTTATACAATTTATCTGATAATCCAAGATCGCAAGTTCTAAAATGATTTGTACTTTCTCTCTATAAAATACTTCATGATTCTATACTTAAATATTCGTGGCATGAATTGCTCAGATTTTGATTTATATTTATTTACAATTTAAGTTGATAGTATGAATGAGATTAGAGAATCTCACATATAAATAATGGTTTTGGTACAATCTGTGAAATCGATGCACTTCATATTTCCAACAAATCGTGGATTTAGTAAAAGCATGTAACATGGGGAGTTGAATCCTTAGGTGCAATTAACTAACTCATTTTAGTATTTTTAATAGATCATTTTGTTTTCTGGTCAACAACGAGGTAAGGATTAAGTGGGACACAAAGTAAAGGACTTTATACGAGGAAGGCCCATGTTTTCAGACCTAAAATATAGGCCTTCATAGACCAAAGAAATTCCTGCCCAAGTAGTTCAATGTTCTTCCATGTCATAATAGTCCATTAAAAAGTTTGATCCGGGAAATCTAAAACAAAAACGAATCATGAATTGATTAAAAACAATTCTCGACAAAAAATAATAATGAAAGAAAAAGAAAAATATGGATTATTAGATTTTATTATGGACAATATTTAAAAACAAATTATGTGACTTTTAAGTGATTATGTAATTTAAAATAAATGTAAACTTTTATTATTTATATATAATTACTTATATATATATATACACACACCTGCACAAAGCATATTGCGTGAGAAGACTTTGTATAAAAATAATAATTTAGATAAAATAATTACTCTCATCTTTTACTTTTTAACGCGTTTATGTTATACATTTTTTCTTTTTAGTAAGTCTTTCATTTTTTTATAATTAAAAGAAGTTCACACTAGTTTGCCCAAAATAAAATTTTCCAACGTGATTAAAGTGTATTTGAACTATTTTGGTTGAAAAACATAAGGTAAAAAACCTTATTGCTTCTACTCGAGAAATTTATGTTATAACAACATATTGTTTATAGCCTAAGTATATAAGATTTTTTATTTTTTTTTTACTTTTTGACAAGTCTTTATAAAATAAACAATAATCAAAGAATATATGGAGTTTTAGTCAAAACGAAAGGGCATGGAGTTTTAGTCAACATGAAAATATGTTTTTAACTAATTTTCATAAAAAAGTTGTGATAAAAGAAATATGATTTTTAGTAAAAAAAAATGACATTTCAATAAATTTTTGATAGATTATTGAATGGTTGTTTGTAGATGAAATTGCAAGATACAAGAATGTCAAAGTTGATTGAAAAAATATGTTTAAAGGTGTTTCTAGAAAGCATTGCAATTGTTAACAATTGTGGTTAAAAATCAGTCAAATAATACTTTATCAAGAAAGTCAGCTTAAACTATTATTAATGAAGTATTTCAAATATAAAGTTTTCAAAAGAGTTTGTGTTGAAATACTAATGTATTGAAAGCCGTTATAAGCAATAGGTGAAGACAAGTGACAAATATCATGAATGATATGCAATAACGGTTACAAAAAATTGTTTTAAACAGTAATATTGTACAAAATCATGTTTTAGGTAGTTTTATAATATTGGGTTTATAAATAGAATTTCAAATCATAGTAAAGTGGATCAGATGTTTACAATTAACGACTCAATAATTACCAACATGTTAAACTTAAACAAAAACATATTAACAGAGCTTTATCTTATTAAAAGTTGTACATTTTAAAATTGTAAAGTACTTTTAATCCAACTGTTTACTTTGTTTTTTATTGTTTTATTTTCACATTTTCTTGCAATTCTTCTTATTCTTTTTTTTTTACTTTGCATTATGTATGTAATATTATTAATTCATTTCATTAAAAACATACTATAAATAACTTATTGACAGAATCTAAGATTTAATCTCATATTATTTTTGAATTTATTTATTTACTAATAAGTTCACCATAAATACGTTCGAAAGGTAAAAAAAGTCATAACTTAAAACCTTAAAAAGTAAAAACTTCAATTATGAATAAGTAATTGATATAAAGCTAAAGAAAATAGGTCTTACGAAACTAACATGAAGCAAATAGAACCAACGTGTAATTTTAAAGTGATTTTTAGTTTGAACCGGCTTCCAATAATATAAGTTATGCTAAAATGTTAGTTACACTATTTTTACACTATCAAATGACTTTATATTATATTTTTTTTAATCTTAAAATCTACCATTAAATTTTAAAGTTTCTATTATATAAATTGTATTCACAAAATCTGATACCAATCCAATAATATTTAATAGTTTGCTGACTATTTTTCACTGTGAACTTATTTGAAGACATTACAAAAGTTAAAAGATGATTATGACAATCAAAGTTATTAGTGAAGCATTAATAATTTGTTGACTATTTTTCTTTCAACAAAAAAATGTAAATAATTTAGTAAGTAAAAAAAAATTTAAAATAGAAAACAAAATTACTATACATTTAAAATATTTTGACCCAATATAAATTAAGAATTGTCAAAATCAATACTTAAACGAAGGATTGATTTTGAAACTTTTAAACTACAAGATAACCAAAAAACAGAACAAGAGTCCAAATTTAACACGAAATGGGCCGGGCTTTTTCTAACGGGTGTGATGATATGAGAACGCAAATTGTTTCAAGTGACAAAAAAGTCCCAATCAGGGGGGGAAAAGGGGAAATAATTTACTAATTTTCTTTCCTTTTTCTCTATGCTGCTTTTGTTCCTTGTCTATCTCACAAGATTCTATTATCACCCTCATAGGCTCAGATTGCCAATAAATTTTTCGCATTACAAAAACCAAAACCAAAAACCCCTTAAATGCACATAACATTCACAACACTCTTCTCTCAACGCCGAACCCCCTTTCATTTCTAGCCTACTTCTTCAATCCCTAATATTCATTCATATTTCACAACCACTCCTCGTTTTGCACCCTTATCTCCATCTGTACCAGAACCCGTTTTTGATCGCACCCCAACTCCTCTCACCCCTAATTTTTAATGCCTACGCATTTCTGTGTTTGCCCACTACGCTTTTGATTCGCCTCCACACTTCAACTGTGTTGGGATTTTCCCTTTTCCATTAGGGTTTTAATCATCTAAACTATTCTCGTATTGTATAACAGAGCAACTTTTTTTTTTTTTGATTCATTTGGGTGTTTGTGTTTTTTTGGGGGGGATTTGTTTGGTAGCTGGTGGGCACTCTGAAATTGTGTGTTTTAATCTGTTTGTGTTATTTTTGGGTAATACCCAGGATTGGTTTAGTGAAACTTCACAGTTTTTTCTTTTTTTTTATATATAAATTTTTTGGAACTCCTGAGGGTGCAAAGTCCTATCTTGTCTTGTTTGTTGTGCTGGGGTAAAAATTCCCCATCATACGTTTGAGGGAAAGCACTGTGACAATAGCTACTGCTGCAAGCTTTTTGTGTGATGCTTTGTTAGTTTGAATATTGGTTGTTGGGGTTATCTAGAAGGAGCTGTGTTGGTGGGGGCGGTGTCTTGGCTTGGGTTGGTTGGTGTACTTGGGAGGGTTGAAACATAGGCTTGCATGGGAGAACATGAGGGGTGGGCACAGCCACCAAGTGGGCTATTGCCAAATGGGTTGTTGCCCAATGAAGGTGCCTCTGTGATACAGGCGCTTGATTCGGAGCGGTGGTTGAAGGCTGAACAGAGGACTGCAGAGCTGATTGCCTGTATTCAGCCTAATCCACCCTCTGAGGAGCGCCGCAATGCAGTTGCAGACTATGTCCAGCGGCTGATCATGAAGTGCTTCCCTTGTCAGGTTGGTGTTTTGTGGAGATTGCAGATTATTTATTGCTTAAGAACTTTTAATTAGTGAGTTGTGGTTTATTTTAGCTATAACAATGCTATGATATGTTAATTATTGAAGGATTTAAGCACATTGTAAAGCTATTATGTGCTATGGCAAGTTTTTTAATGAAGTGGCAGTAGATCAGAAATCCTAATTTGTGCTTAAAAGGTTCATGTATGATGTGTTTGCAATGGGGATGTTAACATCATGGTTTTGATAGTGGAATTATGTTCTCCCAAATAGTGAAAAATTATGCATCATGCCTTTTTAAATTTTGATGTGGTGGCAAATGGGTATAGTGGCTTTATTTGTTTCATCCAGGAGAGCATCGGTAATATCCTTGATGTAAACTTGTAGACTTGTAGTTGTATTTACACATTATGGTGTAAATGATTATCTACAATTGCAGGTGTTTACCTTTGGGTCGGTACCCCTAAAAACTTATTTGCCAGATGGAGATATTGACTTAACAGCGTTCAGTGAGAATCAAAATCTGAAGGATACATGGGCACATCAGGTTCGTGACATGCTGGAGAATGAGGAGAAGAATGAGAATGCAGAGTTTCATGTCAAAGAGGTTCAGTACATCCAGGCTGAAGTGGGTTCCTCTAACAGCAGATTTTTTTAAATTGTTGAACACTGACCGTCACTCTGCTTAGAATGTTAATTAATTATCTAGTTTGTTAATGTCAGTTGCTTTCTCAATATGGTTGAGATCTTTCTGCCATGCTTAAGTTTGGGTTTTTCTAGAATTTATTTTGACGTTTTGTGTTGCTCTGCTTTGTCATATTCATTGAGGACAAAACCTGTGTGGTCATTTTCCTATATTTAATGAAACTCACCTACTCATACATAGCACTAGTGCACTGGATTATGCAAGTACGAGGGGACTTTTTAAGTGGTTGTGTGAAATTGTTACAGTAGCTTAAGGTGATAGGTTCTATCACGCTGGTGGAAGAACAAATCCTAGTTAAATAATTGTTAGCCTGAGAAATACATATTTCATGCTATTAATTGCTGAAGCATTTTTAAGTACTTAGAATGATGTGCTTGCTATTTGTTTTCTGACAGTTATAATTATTGCTAACTGTCTAACTTGATTTAGCATTTTGAAGAATGTTTTGTAGTCCTTCTATTGGGATTGTAGAGGCATTATTTTACATTGATTCCCTTCATATTTGCAGGTGAAAATTATAAAGTGTCTTGTTGAGAATATCGTAGTAGACATTTCATTTAACCAGCTTGGAGGGTTGTGTACCCTTTGTTTCCTTGAGGAGGTAATTTGGTGTATCACAGAAATCTCACAAGTCATTTGATAATGTGACATTGATATTGTCTTTTCTTGGATTTACAATAATTTGAATTTGTTGCTGTAGGTTGATAATCTGATTAACCAAAATCATTTATTCAAGCGTAGCATTATACTGATAAAAGCTTGGTGTTACTATGAGAGCCGTATACTTGGTGCCCACCACGGACTTATCTCAACTTATGCTTTAGAAACCTTGGTTCTTTACATATTTCATGTTTTCAACAATTCCTTTGCTGGACCACTTGAGGTAGCAAAAATTGCATGGCTTGCTTTTATTGTAGCGTTTTTTTTTATTGATTTGACATGGTATTGTCTTTGCTTACATAGGTATTGTATCGATTTTTGGAGTTTTTTAGTAAGTTTGACTGGGACCATTTCTGTGTAAGTTTATGGGGTCCAGTATCCATTAGTTCACTCCCAGATGTATCAGGTAGTTACATTCTAGCTGAAGATTCCCTTGTGTACATTGATTTAGGTTCATCTTGTGTATTGATTATATTGATCTTCTTCGTTCCCTAACATTGTCCCCAGCTGAACCTCCTCGAAAAGATGGTGGAGATTTACTGCTCAGCAAGTTATTTCTCGATGCCTGTAGCTCAGTTTATGCTGTTTTCCCTGGTGGCCAAGAAAATCAGGGGCAACCCTTTGTTTCCAAGCATTTCAATGTTATTGATCCTTTGCGTGTCAACAATAACCTTGGTCGTAGTGTCAGTAAAGGTGTGTTGGTCTCTGAAAATTTGGATCTGGTTCATTATATGCATTTGTATTACTGTGTGTCAGATTATAAATTGGACTGAGTTCATTTTGTATTCTCTGGTACTTGTTTTTAATGTGACAGTATTAGCAGTTGTTCCATATTATGGACTTCGTGATGTTGGAAGGATTAAAAAAGATACATGGGATTATGGACTATGGTTATCATCTGTGGATAAGCATGCATGTGTCTTTTGACACACTGTAGTCTCTTTCCCTTTTATTGTTTTTCTTGTCATACGTAAATTTATGCATTGGATGTGTAATGAAGAATGCATAAAACTCATAAGCAGATATTTAAACATGTCTCATCGTTTTCATGGTGACCTGCGATATTTCCCTACACAAATATGGTAGTTTGATTTCATCTATGTCTTTGGAGTCATCATCATGGAAATTTTATTTTCATTGGTGGTAATGTAGAAATCTGGACATATTATAGAAGATTGGTGCTGTAATTGTTTGTAGTTTCTAATAATTTGGGTACTCATTTTGGATTTGAGAATCATGCAAAATGATTTTTTTTGCCTCCTGTTGGAGATACACAAGTTTTATATTTGATTGTCATAAGTTCCCCTGAATTATTTTTAATTAATTTATCTTTTTGGCTAGTTGCTAATCTTGCATATGTGATTCATGTGAACCAGGTAATTTCTTTAGGATACGCAGTGCCTTTGCATATGGAGCAAAACGGCTGGCTAGATTACTTGATTGTCCAGAGGAGGAATTGTCTTTTGAGGTCAATCAATTCTTTTGGAACACTTGGGACAGACATGGAAGTGGGCAACGACCTGATGCTCCAAGCAATGACCTATGGCGTTTGAGGTTATCTAGTCATGACCAATTACAGAGATCTGAGAATCTCCAGAACAATAACCACAAAATTGATAATGCCTCCAACTGTGAATTTAATATGGAAGGGGAACATGTTCCACGAAGTGGTTTATCTCAGTATAGCAATTTATCATCTGAAAACTCATATAAAAGTGTTGTTTCCACAGTGTCACATTCTCAGAGTCAAAAGAGTTATGGAAACCAAAATAATTCAAGAAAATTTGATCATGTACGAAGGGAAACTAATTCTAATCAAGGTGCTTATGTTGATAAAGGTCAGAGAAATGTTAAAGCTGATAACCTAGCGAGTGATATTCAGGGGAGATTTCTATTTGCCAGGACACGATCTAGCCCAGAGCTGACTGACTCATATGGTGAAGTATCCTCCCAAGGAAGGCGTACAAACGCAACAGAAAGTAGCAAAGCCCATAATTCCATTGCAAAGTTGGAGAATAGTCATAGGAAGGACCTTGAACCTGATGTAGCTGCAAGAGTTGATGAGTCATCTGCTAGGCACATCTCATCTCGCCAAGTTCTTGATAGTGCTGCTGATTTAAACAGTAATCACGATGATTCAGGCTCAGGTGTGATGGGAGAAGAATTTGCTTCTGTTCCTGGAGCAGGTGGAATGCAGATGATGCATCAGGAGGAGCAGGACCTTTTGAATATGATGGCTTCTCCCGTAGCTCAGGGTTTCAGTGGTCAGGCACATGTTCCAGTTAATATAGCTCCAGGTCACCTACCATTTCCCTTTCCACCATCCATTGTTGCATCAATGGGATATGCTCAGAGAAATATGGGTAGCATTCCCTTTATTGAGGCTCCTTGGGCTACAAATATGCAATTTCCTCAAGGTTTTGTCCCTTCACCGTTGACTCCATATTTCCCTGGCATAGGATTGACCTCAAACCCTCAAGATTTACTTGAAACCAACAATGAGAATTTCAGCTCTGTTGAAATGAACATAGCCGAAGCTGATAATGATTTCTGGCATGACCATGAAAGGGGTTCTGCCAGTGAGGTTGAAGTTGATAATGGAAATTTTGAAATGCTTCCAGATGATAAACAACAGTCTACTTCAGGTAATTTTAACTCTGCCCCATTGTCTCGGGTAGGCAGCTCCAGAAGTTCTTCAAGAGGTCAGCCAAAGTTTACTAAAGAAAACCGAGGGTCAACAAGAGAAGAGCATATTGATAATTTTCATTATCAAGATGATCAGAGAAATGACATTTATTTTGATGATAGAACAGCAAATTCTGAGTTGCCCAGTGCACCTCCTTCGGGCTCCTTCAGGAGTAGGACCGCTTCTGAAAGCTCTTGGGAAGGATCATTAGCCAAATCCTCGAAATCAACAAAGGAAAAAAGGGGGAGGAAAAATACTCCTTCAATGCCATCTCCTGTTTATGGAAAGGGTAAGAATACCTCAGAAATTTCATCAAGTCAAGCAGATGATGAAAACAGAGAGTGGACTGCTTTGTCGACTATGCCATCTGATATGGCTGAAAGAAGCACTGGACCCACACCTGGTACTTCCATGCATATTCCTAGGAATCAAATATCTGGTTATGAAACTGCTCAGACAAGTGGATCAGACTCTCCATTACCCATAGCTCCTGTGCTTTTAGGTCCTGGTTCTCGCCAAAGAACAACTGATAATTCTGGGGTTGTTCCATTTGCGTTCTATCCAACCGGGCCACCAGTTCCGTTTGTTACAATGCTTCCTTTATATAATTTTCCAACTGAGTCTTCTGACACATCGACAAGCAACTTCAATGTGGAAGAAGGGGCAGATAACAGTGATTCAGGTCAGAATTTTAATTCATCTGAGGGATATGAACAGCCTGTGGTGTCAAGCCCTTCTAATTCTATGACAAGGGCAAGTATTGAGTCATCAGAGCACAAGCCTGACATTCTTAATAGTGACTTTGTTAGTCACTGGCAAAATTTGCAATATGGCCGATTTTGTCAAAACTCACGTCATCCGCCTTCAATGGTCTATCCTTCACCTGTTATGGTGCCTCCTGTTTATTTGCAGGGTCGATATCCTTGGGATGGTCCTGGAAGACCACTTTCTGCTAAGATGAATATTTTCAGTCAGCTTATGAGTTATGGGCCACGTCTGGTTCCTGTTGCTCCTCTCCAATCGGTTTCTAATAGACCTGCAAATATTTACCAACGCTATGTAGATGATATGCCACGGTATCGAAGTGGGACTGGAACCTACCTTCCAAATCCGGTATGATAAATTTCTATGAAACCTGGTTCTTTTTCTGCAGTTTTATTTTTTCTTCTCACGCGTGTACCAAAATAAAGAAGTGTTCCCACTTCAGAACGGGTTCACTCTGCTTTTTGGTTCTGCCGTTTTCTTTATGGTATTTTTCCTTCTCTAATTATTTCAGAAGGTTACTGTTCGGGATAGACATTCCACAAATACGAGAAGAGGAAATTACCACTATGATAGAAATGACCATCATGGTGATAGAGAAGGAAACTGGAATACAAACTCAAAGTTGCGAGGAACTGGGCGTGGCCATAACCGCAACCAAACAGAGAAGCCCAGCTCAAAACCAGAGCGGGCAACTAGTGAGAGCCGAGTTGAGAGACATTGGGGTTCACATAGACATGAATCTTTCCTTTCTCACCAGAATGGTCCAGTCCGCTCAAATTCCACACAGAGCAATCCTGCCAATGTAGCTTATGGAATGTACCCTATTCCAGCCATGAACCCCAGTGCGGTCTCATCGAATGGACCTTCAATTCCATCTGTAGTAATGTTGTATCCTTATGATCACAATGCTGGCTACAGTTCACCAGCAGAGCAGCTTGAGTTTGGTTCTTTGGGACCAATGGGTTTCTCGGGTGTCAATGAACTGTCACAGTCGAATGAGGGAAGTCGATCCGGTGTAGCACTTGAAGAGCAAAGGTTTCATGGTGTCCCTGCCCAACGATCATCACCAGATCAACCCTCTTCACCCCATGTTTCAAGGTAAGTTGTTCCTGTCTCCGTGCATGTTTGGTTTAACTTATTTTAGAAAATAATTATTTGCTGTTTCAGATTCCTGGTTGAGCTTTCAAAAAATGAGCGATTATTTCTTTAGAGTTAAACTGAACCAAACATAAAACTACCCCTTTTGATTGCCCCTTGTACTCAAAAGACATCGTCAAGTCTTTTAGCTCATTTCCTGGCCATGAAATATCTTATTTCATATCAAATTATTATTATTACTATTTCCTTGGGCTGTTTCTTAAATGTCTCATTTTATGGTTTTCAACAGGGCCCCCTGATTCTTCTGTCAGATCAGTGGCCAGGAGGAATTAACAACTGAAAGGGGAGGATCTTACTCCTTTTTCATATCAGGACTGGGCAGGGCATGCAAGTGGAGAATGCTATATAACTTGAAACCTGTCCATTTCAAGGCTTTGTATTGTTGTTTTAAAAAGAAAGAATGTAGGCCCCTTGTGGCGGCTTGTGCATGTACACTCACAGGTTATTAACCAACTTTGGTTAAGTTTGTCTTTCCAAGACCGTGTTTTTAGGATGAAGACAGTGGTGACAAAGAGGATGCAGGACCAGGACTCTCCTCACAGTCTACCAAAAGGAAAAGGGATGGAAGACTTTGTGGTTAGATTTTTATTGAAGGTTTAGACACATTTGTAACTCAATCAAAGTAGAAAACTGGCTTAGGTTCAGAATTTAGAAATTTTACCATGTTATAGATTTGTCAGCTTCTCTATTATACGATGTTGTAGGGTACTTGTTTTAGAACATGCAGGAGATCTTTGTTGAACTTTTGAACATTGTTTTAGTTTAGCAATAAAATTGTTATAAGATAGTATCAGATGTCATTTGCATTTGTCTTTCTACGATTTCTACCTATAAAAAAAAATTAATTGGATAAAACGAATAACGATAGTCTTTGAAGTATATTTTCATCATATAATTAAAATTTGATAAGTGGTTGAAGTGTTTTTTTTTTGGGGATAAAGAAAAGAAGCAAAAGGTCAATCCTTCATGAAGTAAATAACTATTAGTATTAGTGTATTTATAGAGTTTTTTTTTTTTCCATTATCACAGTAAGGATGTATAAAGAATGAATTGTGGCTTAGTAATCTTGATTCCAACCTTATAAAAGTTTGGTAGGATCATTTGTAGGTCTAAATCTGACTCGATAAAGTAAGGGATAAGACTGGATTAACTTAATTTATTGATATAATATACAATTTTAAACATTATGTATAATTAAATTACAAAATAAAAAGTACACACGCACACCAGCCAAGCATTTATTCGAGTTGTACCGAGAGTGAGGTTAGGCTGGGGTTAGGTGAGCTTGAGTTGGATTCACAAACAAGAATTTATTCTAGTTTCTTTGTTTCAAACTTGAAAGTTCAGAAGTTATTCGAGCTTTTTTAGGTGCAGTAAGAAAGCAGAAAAAACGAAATTTTGATCCTCTACAAAAAATTGACTATTGTGAAATAAGATTGACTAACTATTTAGTATTATAGGTTTTTTATAACCATTGGATGTAAATTTAATGGCAGAGATCTTTGCTTGCCTCTCCAGCAAAACTTTTTGTTTGCGACATCTATCGCAGATGTAATAGCAAGAATCTCAGAATGTAGAAAAACCGTGGTTAAAGAATATCAGCACCTTTATATCAAACTTAATTCATTCATAATAACGCCAAATTTAATTTTGCTCATTAAATTGTTAACTAACAAGCTACATGTACATGACTCTATTCGTCTTCGATCGTAGCAACTGGGGTAACATTTTTGTGAAATTGAACACATTTTATATATATATCCTTTAAATCATAATTAATTAACAACTAATTTTTTAAAGTGTGAAATTATCAAAATGAAAATTTCATTTTAGTTTAAACTTGAAATTCACTGTTATTATTATTTATAAAAAAATAATTAACATTTTTATATCCATTTGCGTATTTAATGACAATCTGACGTACAAAATATGTTTTAAATATATATATTTTTGTAAAGCTGGAGCAGCACATGTTGCAATGTAGTGAATTAGTTAATTACGAAAAAATTCAGTAAGCATGAAGTTTCCTTGGTGAAAAACCCGCGCTCAAAATAGAAAAGGCCTTTTCGTTGAATGACAATTAATCTGGAAGCTAAACTGAAAATGGACGATATCTATAATTGAAATTTAGATGATTCATGTCTTACAATTAAATTATAAAGAAGCATTTTCACTCGAGAACATTATATATTTCACGACTATATCAAAAATTGAATTGAATAAACAACCTATTTGGCACGTAAACCAGGGATATTCCTAAGGCCCATCTTGCCAAGGACTGACTGAGAGATGGCTGGAGGGTTATCAAGCCCCATGCATCGACTGAACTCATTTGCAAGCTCCACTAGTCTATACTTGTCTCCCCCCACTTTCTTGTTGGAATTGTAGTAACCAAGCCATGCCTGATATGCTGTTGCTTTATTCTTCATCTCTACATGGGATAGAGCTCTTTCCACCTGTTAACAAAATTTTGGTATAATAGCTCCAAATTGATTCGTATATAAACTTGTCCAAAGCATTAGAAGAAGATTAAGAATGTCTCCATTGTATATCCCAGTAATACCTTTTTCTTAGTGTCAGGATCAACTGAAGGTACTGCAGCTTTCTCAACAGGTAAATCTTTTATGGTAGATAAAAAGAAGTCTTCCCAAGGAGCCAGTAGCAGTATGCCCTGCCCTTCTTTCCCTCTTCGCCCTGTTCTACCTAGTCGATGTATATACTGTTCTCTGCCCGCTGGCAAACCAACCTATCCATCAAGGAAGCTCGGCAATTAAAATTGAAAACAAAATATTTTGAAAGAAAGAATACTGTTTGTTTTAACTTCTCTCCAATGCCAACAGGCATCTATTTTCGGCTAATGTATTGAGCATTTTCTCAATTGTGCATTGACATTCACAAACAGTGCATAAAATCCACATAAACCTTTCTGGGATGCCCACTAGCAAGGTTCAGTAGTGCTGATGGTAAAACCGCCAGTGTCATAGTAATGAATTTTTTAATACATGTTCCAACAGATGCCTTGCAAAAGTGCAATGATGCAAGGAAGGTGTTCTGCGTATATTACCTGTACAACAAGAGTGACGTCTGGATAATCGACACCACGGGCAGACACATCTGAAGTTACCAGGATGAGACCCTTTGACTTCCGAAACTCCTCAGAGACTCTGGTTCTATAACTCTGAGGCTTTTTTGAATGGATTTCTCTTACATTCAAGTTCAACTCACCAAGAAGTTCAGAAACAAGTCTTGTAAACATAGCAGTTGTGCAGAAAACAAGAACCTGATAAACCAATAGCTATATCCTTTTAAAACACTTTTAAGTGTGATGGTAAAACCTGATAAAAGTAAAACCTTATCTACCAAGCAACAGACTAAAGCAAAACATGATTTTCTTCGTTAATCAAGTTTAAAACATGATTTTCTTCGTTAATCAAGTTATGTGTCATTAAGTGAAAGGATAAAAGTGAAAAGCAGTCAATGCAGCTGGTTGCAGATTGCATACCTTATAGTCAACATCATCTGCAATGTGCTCCTTCAGAAGAACATAGAGTAAAGAGAAATGATTGTCTAACGGGGCTACTAAATGCATCTGGCGGACCTGAAATGATCCAAAATAAAAAAATCATAAGGCATTATACATGCATAACCTTTCACATACATATACACATGTAAGTACCTTAATAGTGAATAGCATGAAATCATAACCAATTACCTGTGAATGTGTCTCCTCAGTACCCTCTTGAACTGTATTGATAAATTCATGATCCCGTCTCAAAGCAATATGGCAGACTTGACGCACCTTCACAACAATAATCAAATCCAAATAAGCCCACTACTCCCAGGAAAAGAAACAATCATACACTCAAGATGGAAAAGGAGAAAAGAAAGAAAGACAGACCTCTTCTGGAATGGTGGCAGAAAACATAAGTGTTTGTCGCTGTTTGGGGACTGCAGCAATTATCTTCTCAATATCTTTGCGAAATCCCATGTCTAGTAAATGATCAGCTTCGTCAAGCACCAGGACCTTTACTCCCATCATCCTAGAAGCAAAACCAGCAGTATTCTCAATATGATCTCTAAGCCTTCCAGGTGTAGCAACAAGGATCTGTACAGTATGCAAACTTATAGTTAGCATGTGAACAGAACAGCTAGCCTAAGTGAAACTCAGTACTCGATAACAAGATCTGGAAACTGGTTTTGTATAAGATGATGATTTGTCCAAGGTCAGCATGAAACCCAATTATCATAACCTAATTATTGTTTAAGCCAAATAAGTACATGGTCCCAAGCCTGAAATCAAATCAGTAAATCAAGATGCTATAGGTTTCTGGCTTCTAGCTTTTAGAAAGATGATCTTCACAGAATCATTTTCCAAAACACACCTAAACTTGTCAACACAAATTTGTTTCTCCTTGTTTATTGATGTTCAATGGAAAAATAGTTAAAAAACTTATGACTGATGGTGGAAATGAGTTCTAAGATGTTACTGTAAAAGAAGAAAATAAAATTGTATCCTACAATTTGTGATAGCTGCAACATTAATTCCCAATAAGAAGAAACATAATATTCAGCATCTTTATGTAAAGGTGGTTTAATAGTGTAAGGATAGTTCAGAATCTTCATTTGGTTAATTATTAGGCTTATGCAGATGCACAAAGGTTTACATAAAATAAAAGTGATGGTTATGAGAAAAAGTTTTACCTGGCAAGGGTTTGCTTGCATACGTTTCTGTTCTAAAGCAAGTCTTGTCCCTCCAATCACAACTTGAACACCAATGGTAGGATGATACTTCAGCAGTTTGGTGGCTTCTGCAGCAGCTTGACTTGCAAGCTCTCGAGTTGGGCATATAACCAGAACAAAAATTGGTGGCCGCCTTTGATCACAATCATTTGGAGCAGACTTTGCAACAACTTCAATTGATGGAAGCTGTACAAAAACACTTAAAAATTAAGTAGAATCAATACCAGTAAAGCACTATTTATCTGTTAGTACAGATGCAATAAAACAACCAATCAGTTTCCAGCTCAAACTTAATATGTTGAGGTTCAAGTAGACCCTTTTTTTTGTTCTTTTATCAAGCACACTCAGAGCCTGATTTATATCTTAAAATCTTTTAAGATACTGTATGATAAACACTGAACCTTCTTTGATACTCCCACTGCAAACTAGCTAGACAAAAGGAGAAATAAAAGGTTATAGTAGACCCATGCCCGAACAACCAAAACAATTAAAAAAAAAAAAAACAGAAACAGAAATGCACCACCATCATGATACAGTATCCAACTGATTTTGATGCCCAAGGTACTAAGCCAAGATCATGAAGTTAAAAATATGAACATTCTACTGATAAAGGGAGCATTAACCACTAATTCACTAAGACAAACACATATTATGAGACTTACCAAAAAGGCTACTGTTTTTCCAGTGCCTGTTTTAGCCTTGGCAAGGATGTCCTTACCTACAAATGTTAACTGGAATAAGTGCCACAGCAATGAATAAACTCAAGATACAAGAGAATGATGACAAAAAAATAAGTAATAAGTTGCTTCTCACTTAATATTATTAATTAGGGACAGCCTAATATTTTGAATACTGATTCTACACATAATTAAATCAAAACTATAACCTCCACTCCACGCAAGAAGGATCCTAAAAGGAAAAGGGTAAATAAGGACAGGGTATTATCATATCACATGATTCACATCCTCCACGGCCACTAAAGAAGACAAACCTTTGAGAATTAATGGAAGCGTTGCCTCCTGCACAACAGTCATTTTCTCATACCCAGCATCCTTGACTCCTTTTAATGAAAGTGGGGAGATTGAACATTGGTCAAACCTATAGCACCACATCTTAAAAGTCAAACATACAGAACCAAGAACAATAAATAATAGCGAATCAGGAGAGAAGAAAACGGTCAAGTACATGTGAGAGTCACAAAAGGTAAACACGAAACAACATGGATGTATGAGCACAAGATTCACCTTCCTCTCCATATTAATTATATTCCTATCCTCCTCCGCAAATACAATACATTTGGCTTTTAATATTTGCCCACTCTGCGAGTAGTCACAAAATCGCCCACCAATTTCCAAATTCATGCCATAGAAAGCATGGAACAACAACAACCCAGTAAGTAAAGTTGCACAATTCTATCCATCCAACACCTCAATCAAATAGATATCCAAAAAAGACACAGTCCAATCAAACTCCAAAACAAACATATAGACACCCTCACACCCCCTCATTCCTTTATTTCGGTTTGTTCAACTACAATTCCCAAACAAGTACCCAGTACCATAACTTTACATCATTTACCCTATTGTACGCAATAATCAACATACACTATACAATCACAGAGGAAGCAATACCCAGGAGTAATACAAGACAATATTTGATAGTACAATGAACACACCTGGTGTCACTCAAATAAGAATCAGATCCTCCAGGTGAAGAAGGTCTTGGAGTTGACTCAGTGGTCCTCTTTTGTTGACCAAACAAAGCACTTCTACTTTTGTTCAATACCTCCTCATCCTCACTCTCTTCATCTTCATCTTCTTCACTAAGAAACTCTCCAATGCCACCAACCTTCAACTTTCTTCCTGCTACATCATCATCATCATCATCACTCTTCAATTGAAACCTTCTCCTCGCATCAGCATTGTGTCTTCCCCTCCTCAAATCCTCACCCCTTCTCTTCCCCAACATAGAAGCCCTATTATTCCTCCGTGATTTATCTTCTACTTCTTCCTCATCATCATCGTCATCCTCGCGACCCAACCGGCGGCTGAAACGGGAGGTTCTGGTGGAATCGGAGAAACGGTCGGAGCGGCCGGTTCGCAAGTCGTCGACCCAATCGCTGAGTTCGGCCTCGTCGTCGACAAGACTCTTGGAAACCCTAACGTTTTCTCTGCTATTCCGGTGGGCACGAGTGGAGAAGGGGCGAGGCTTAAACGATGCGTTTCGAAGGGCGAGGTGGGTGAAGTTGAACTTGAAAGGGAGTAAGAAGGTTCTAGAGAGCGTGGGTAGAGTTTGGGACTTCATTGGGAGGAGAAAACGAAGGTGTGATACTGATAACAGCTTTGGAGGCATAGCAAATGCAGAGAGATAAAGAGTGTGAGCTTCTTCAGTTTTCAGTGTTGAGTGTTCAACCATACCCACAAAGGTTTTTGTGGAGGCAAACTAACAAGGTTTTAGGGTTTAAGAATTACTACTCTCTTTTTTTATCCTTCTGCCTACCCATTTCTTGTTTTTGTTTTTTTTCTTTCTATAATAAAAACTATGAAAATGTTTAAGATTTTATTAGATATCTGAAAGTAATATGATTTTTATTAGACAAAAATGTTTATTGCGTTATTATATTTTTATTTAACAAACAGTTTTTTAAGAAAAATCATGAAATTTTTGCTCATTGGAAATCAATCCTAAGACTGAATAAATTTGGAAATAATATTTATTAACAGATATTTTTAAAATACTAATAATATGTTAATACGTGTCTTTTTTATTAAAAAATTATATTAAAAATGTTTATATTTTAATTTTTGAATCAATAATTTAATAGTAATAATTAATTTTATTACAATACTTCAATTAATACATCGATAAGAACCATTGTCCAATAATAAATTTTGAGTTATACTTTTTTTAATTTTTTAATCAATACTTGAAAAATATTTCGTAACAACTTATATTCTCTAAAAAAATTAATATAACGTTTTATAAAAAAATAAATATATTTTAAAACATTATTAATATTAGTTAAATGATCGATAACAAGTTTTTTTAAGAATGTATTTCTTAGAATTATTTGTAAAAAATATATTTTACCTATGTTAGACTAGGGGTGATATTATTTTTAAAAAGAATTTTGTTAATCTTAATACTGAAAATTGAAGATAAACAATTAATAATAAAAAATTTATTAAAAAAATAAGTATTTATTATATTTTAATTTGTGAATGCTTAAATTTTGCTCTAATTATTAAAATTAACAAAACTCTTTTAAAAATAAAAAATTTTATTCTTTATGTTAGGACAATACTGTGTGTAGTACGTGATTATACAATGAGTATCGTCCTTTATTTTTCTTATAATTCCAACGGTTATTTCAATAATATTAAATATTTTTACACTAAAATTTATTATTAATTTAAAATTTTAATTAATAAATTGTATTATATATCTGATATTTTAATTTTATATTATTAAATTTTAAATTACTTTATAAAAATATTAAAATTTAATTACAAATAAATATTAAATTATTTATTTAGCAGCTAAAAATTTACTTGATATTAATTCAAAAATAAAAAAAATGACACGTGACATTTTTAGTACAAAATTTAAAAATTGGAAAACAAAAAAAAAATAGTGTAAAAATATTTAATAGTTTTTATAATTAAATTTTAATATTTGATTGAATACAATTTAAATAGTTAATAAAATCGAAATAGACAATAATACATTTCAACTAAATAATAAAATTTAGTGCAATAATATTTAATATACAATAAATAAATAATTAAAATTATTTTAAATAAATAATATATATTAAAATTTAACTTTTTTCAGTCAAAAAACCAAAGAAAAGAAATAAGCCTTTTTTTAACGTATTTACGTCAAATTTTAGTGATTCAAATAATAAAGTCATTTTTTGTGTTGATATGTTTTTTTAATTAATCTTCTTCTTCTTTTTCTCTTCATCATTTCTTTTTATTTTTAAAAAAAATAATATTTGGTGAGTTCAACTATTTTTTAAAAATTAGTTCATTTTATTTTTTTATCAAACGCCTGAAATATTCTTTTTCTTTCATTTCTTTCTGTCTTAAATCAAATAAATTCTCAAATTAACCCTTAAAATCGTATGAGTTGAACATCTTAATTTTTGAGATATTAAAATACTTAATTAATTTTTAACTTCGTAAAACAATATTCACTTTACCCTTTTTCTAAGATAAATAATTTCCAAATTATTTATACAATTTATTCAATATAAGTTATTAAAATATATTTTAATTTATTATAATAGGTTATATAATCAATTACATGATGTAACATATATATCATGTAAAAACAATTTATTCAATAAATATTTAATTAAACTGAATTTCCAAACATATCCTAAAATAGTTATGCATCTAACCCCAAGTCATTCAGAAATAATCAGTAGAAACTCAAAAACCATCTCTTCCCCTGAATTCTAATTTTGATTGCTTTTAATGATATGGTTCTAATAATATTTTTTAGTGCGACGAAAAATAGTTGTTTGAACTCAAAGCTTCATTTTCAACCCTTAGTTCCGAAAAAGGATAATATCTTTAAAATATATTCGTAAGGATAAGTGTATTAGACAAATGATTGTAAATTTGAGAAAAAGAATAAAAAATATATTTAAAATTGTAAAAGAACATTCCATTAATCTAATTAGAACTTACAATGTATACATTAAAAAAAATTGAATGTATAAACAAAAATATCGATATTTATGTCAAAAGAAATCGAAGTTAAAATAAGAAAAAGAATTGTAAATGTCATAATTTATTGAGAAAATGTAAACTTCAGAGAGTATATTTTGTTATAAAGGAGTATATTTTTTTTTAGTTAAAAAAATTTATTTTGGTATCATCTTAATATGTATCCGTCCTATAAAAATTATAAATATTTTGCCAAATTTAAAACGAGACAATTAGCCCTAATTAGATTTCCTTAAGACTTATGCGAAGTGTGTTTTTTTTTTCTGTTTTTAAAAACAGTTTTTTCTTTCTAAAAGTTTAAAAAAAAAATTAAAATTATTATAAAATATAATTTTAAAAATTTAAAATCAAAATAGAAACAAACAAACAAACTAGTTGTTCTTCCATTTTGCTAAACGAATCAAAAATTTCTCAACATCGGAAGGGTCACGCAGAGAATGAGCAGCGTTGGTGTCCTTTGCAATGTCAGAAACAACGATGGGAATTCCACTGTCTCTGATAACCTGCATGCATTTTCATCCAGAGAAAATCCTCCATTAACTTAATTAAGCAACATTATAATGTCTTGATTATGTATAAATGCTTAGACCTCTTATTTTCTAAAACTAGTTCATAAATTGAGGTTTCTGTTTAACAAACCGTACCTTAAAAGCATCTTCATCTGTTTTGTCATCCCCAATGTACATCGGAAGAACATTATTAAAATTGTCAAAGCCGAAAGTGTCAAGCAAATACTTTAGAGCAGAACCTTTATTCCAATCTATTCTTGGACGTATCTCCATAACCTGATCAAGGATATTTAATTCATGTTTAAGTTCAGGTTTTAGAATCCAACAAAATTGTATTCATCAATGGCAAAGGTTTTTTTTTTACCTTTTTTCCTTCTGAAATTTTAAAATTGGGATAATCTGTCATAACAGACTTCACAATTTCTTCAAGAACATCCACATCCTATGATTTTGAGAAGCAACATATAATTACATAAGCTTATATTATTTGTTGCATATATATTTTTAAATTAAATTAAAAATTTAGTCTTTACATTTAATACTATTTCTTAGTTTAATGAGTCTCTGCAAGGAAAAAAAAAAGGTTCACTTTTTAGTTTTTATATGATTTATTTATTTATTTATTAGTTCCTAATATTTGTTAACATTATAATGATATTAGTTTTTTTTATAGGAACAAAATATATAAAAAATTATTAGATATAGAAATGAAATGTGAAAATAAAAGTCATACAAAGATCAAAACAAAGTATAAATTTATTTCATACCTATAACAACTAAAACAAAAAATATTACTAAGTATAAGAATTAAATCTAACATCATTATATCAATGACAAATAGCTATTTTATAAATATATTTTATAGAAACTAAAATACTAATTTTTAAAAAAGATTAAATTGAAAAATTAATGTTAAGTGTATGCACTAAATTTTCAATTTAGCCATAATTTTACATTAGATTTGTCAATCTAGTGTATATATCTACCTCATCCTTCTTCACACGCCGATAGTGTACCGTGACGCAGAACGTATTATCCTCAATGCTAGAGCCCTTTATTCTTTTAATATTTTCTTTCAAAACCTTAATTATCTGCAAGAAATAAATGAAACACTCATGCACTGAAGAAAATGATATATGAAGTCAAGTCTATTCACATCTGTGAGAGAGAAATCAATGTCCAATTTGAATTAGCTTCTAACTAATGGGTTTTCTCAATTGTGAAATTCCACAGTTAAAACTTTTTCATACAAGAATATCAAGCTTTATTAAGCTTATAGGTGTTTATATAAAAAACAGAACTTTTAAAAATTTGAGATAAATAAGTTAATTTAAAATTATACAAGAACTTTTTTTCTAATAAATGCTTGTTAAAAAGTTTATTCACACTAATTCTAAAGGCAAGTCAGACCAAACTAGATGAAGAAGTTAATTTATTTTGAACAGAAAATTAATGAATTACCTCTTGGATTGTAGGTAAAAAATCTTTTGCCGGATGAAAGTGAACAACTTGATTACCCTACCAAGTTAAACACATTATGAGACATGAATAACAAAGTCAAATTGTCACAAGCATCATTTCACTATCATTAAACTTCTCCATTATAATATGAGTTTTGTTCAAACAATGGGAAACTCTTGAACCAAAAAAAAAATGGCAAAATTAAATAAACCTTTTCATCAATAGCCTTTGTCTGATTATTCTGATTGCCATATTTTGAAGAGTCTGATGGAGTTGATATATCCATACCATGGCTTCCAGCATAACAAAGATTCTTTAGCTTCACAAATCCATATACCTAAGCCAAAAGGAAAATAAAGGCAGTGAAAATACACAATTGATAACTAGAAGGAAATTATATATATAGTGCACTTTTCTTTTGAGTGGGTGGATTATTACCTTATCCCTACTCCTTCCACTAACAATGGCAGTGGGAAAACGAGAAGCAATTTCACGTACAGCCGAACGCATCTGCAATTTGTAAACATACCACATTGACCATTAAATTTTGAGAAAATGAAAGCAACAGAACACAGCCACAACTACACAACTTATAAATGAATCACATAAAGTCACCACCAATATATGATGTGGTGTTTATTTTCCCATGCAAAGCACTTACAGAATCACTCATGTAAGCCTTATCAGGGTCATTCACAATCGGTGAGAGTGTTCCATCATAGTCCAAGAACACCACAATCTTTTTTCCTTTGGCAATGCTCATCACTTCGTCAAAATTGTCCAAGGCAGAAGGATGATTTCCCTTGAGAGTAATAATAATTAAGAAAAAGAATCATAAAGATAGCCCTCGTGTATAATTAAGTTTAACTGCTTAACAAAGTATTAAGTAAATTTTTATTGGGTGTACAAGTTTTTAAGCTTACTAGCCAAGAGGCATATGAACATGGCATTGGTTCTCCACTCATATCCGGCTTTGCAAGTGAGGTTGATTTCAAGTTTAGTGTTCTGATGGTTGTGGTATATATCCCAATATACGATGGTTCAAAACGGAATCTTGCAGAAACTGAGCCTTTGCTGCCTGCATTCAAGTGTTTGTGAGAGAGTTAATTGATGGAAATAATGTCTTACTTTTAATATCTAACTAATATACCTGTTATTAAATTTGATTATTAAAAGGTTTCATATGGATACTTAGAACAAGGGGTAACCATAGTCTGAATTAGTATAAAATTTTAACAAAAAAACCTAAAGAAAATGACACTAAACAAGTATATACAGTTTGTGTTAGTTGACCGTTAAAAGAAGAACGCAGAAAGTTCACAAGCCTTTTGTTTTCAAAGGCTGCCTTTGGATTTTTTAATATTAAACTTGACCACTTTCTTATTGTTCACGAAGTGAAAAAAATTAAAAGTGAAACCACGTGATACCCTTATCTTTTCAGAAGATAAAGAAGTTCCTTATCTGGAACTCAAGCAGTCGCATTCTGAATTAGCTTGCACATGAACTGCAAGAATTCATTGAACTAAACACCATGTTATTTTTGTGGCTACAAATTCAATGTCAAAGCTGAGAGATAAAGGTGGCGAATTAAGGTTTGTAAGGTGTCACAATAGATATGGAAAATTGGGAATTCAGTGACTTGAAGTGATCAATACTTCATATATAAAATGGAAGAAAAGTTGTATTTAATTTACAGTTTACTATGATGCGTAATGTTATGTATAAATGAACTGTCTCTAAAGGAACCCAATGCAAACCAATGCTGCCGGATGTATTTGGAAGTATCAGTCATGCATGATTCACATGCATTGGTTTATAGATCATTTTGCAAATGAATTTTGGCACAACTTGTATATAATTCCTCTAATTAAGCATTGTTATTGGAGGAGTCTATGTTGGGAAACAAAAAATAATCCCGCAATCTATCAAGTAATTTACATATTTTAGCAAAAGTTCAGCCGAATGTATTTAGAAACCTGAGGATAAAATTATGCATTTTATTAAAATTTATAAAAATAAAATTCAATACTTACCCTTTTACCATTTAACATACGAATTTTTAATTAAAAGTTATAATTATGTCTTCTTCCAGTAATATTTTTTTCAATCATTAAGTCATCCAAGTTATTGAAAATAAAATACCAAAAAGTTCAGAAAATAGATATTATATAGTTGGAAGAAAAAAACAGTTAATTATAGATATAATTATCAATTTATAAGACTAGCTAGTCAACTCTGATTGGATCAAGATTTATTCAGAAAATATATTTATTCTTGTTTAACTTGATATTGTAATTTTAATTTAATCAAACAAAGAAACTTTTTTAATGTGGGAATATTATATATTCTTAAAATAAAAATACCAAAATTAGAATTTGACATTATTTTCCTTTCCTTTATTTAAAAAATAAGAGTTATGAAATCCATATCTTTGCAAATGTCAACGATCAGCTCACACATACAAATCTAAATAAGAATTCAGAAGTGTTAAACTCTTTTATATATAAAATAATTTTTTAAAAAAATTCAACACAAAAAAATGTTGTGTCTGATGTAGACACTCATTTTGAGTGTTAAAATAGCACACCTCGTAAGAATTTATAGTTAAATAGCCCTTTTATTCATATTTATAAAAGAAAAGTTACACAGACACATTTCACATGAAAATACCCATTCCCATATATTCCATATTTAATTCTAACGTGTTCCTTAATTAAATGTGTTTAATTATCATAAACATTGAATAATAGCCATGGCTTATAATGATCCTGCATTGGAATACCTAAAAAATCCATTATTCTACCATGCTCTTGATTTAAATGTTATTAATTATCATATCAAACATTGAATAACAGCTATAAGCCTATAATTTGTAATGATGCGTTTAAGTCCTTAAAAAATCTGCAACAATCAATGGCGAAATGAAATGCAGTGTTGTTAGATTCATGCCTGCTTCAAAAACCCTTTGATGTCACATTTACTAACCAACATATTTTCAATAGCTGCATTCATGTGTCCTTGAAAGATGTTTTAATTTCACATTAACTGACCAAACATATTTTAAAGAAAAAAAGCAATATAATTTTATTCATGTGCCTTTAAAGATGTTTTGTTTCACATTAAATTACCGAGCATGTTTTAAAGGAAAATGACTAATTGTACAAATATGAATTTTGTAGTGTAAATTCTACACATGAGTAGTGATTGTTAAATAATCCTGATTCTTTTGTTCCAATTTTGTCATAATTCGCTATTCATACCATACAGCAATACGATATATTTTTAATGCCATGAGACTAATTTTTATTTGCATATTTAATTTTTTTCTAAAATAATTGAGCTCCTACAATGCAAGGGAAAGCAAACACAAAGCACAAGTTACATCTGGCAGTAATGTAGCTAACTTTTGATTAAAAATAAAATCTTAACGAGACCAAAACAATTTTCCTCAAGCAAATACAATTTTTTACAGTCTAATTTTTGTACCTATCTTAATTTTGCAATCCTTTGTCTCTCTTTCTTATCACATCATTTATTAAATTTGAATCTTATCATATTATTAAACATAATAAATTAAAATTTTCATCACTAACATAATTATATCATATTATTTAATAATAAAGAATCTAAAATTTATTTCATTATATTTCTCTCTTGTCATATGAGATATATGCATCCTAAAGGGTCACAACTGATCATTATTTTTCCGTCATTTATGAATTTTCCACAGAATTATGAACAATTAACAAATTAGAAAGTGGAATGAAAGAAGTAAGAAAATTAAAAGAAACAGACAGAAACATATGAGGACACAGAATATCTATATGGGGACTCTAGCACAGTAGCATAAGTATTCCTTGTCTGTATTATTACTTAAGAAATTACATCATAAACAAACTTCAGAGGAACAAAGAAGAAAACTTACAGTGAGAAGGGTAGCAAATGAAAGATTTGTTGCTGAACGACGAGTGTTAGAGAATAAACTCTTACGTATCGAATATAGAGATGACAAAGAGTAAAGAGGGAAGAAAAAGAGGTTATATAAGGTTCATAACGTATGCAACAGAACTTAGACTATAAAAGCATTTGGGGGGACAGTTTCATTACATACAAGATGAATATTATATTATACACTCACTATATATACATATAAGAGATTGAAAGAAAAGGAAAAAAAATGATAGGTGTAATTTTATTCCAAATTAATAAAAATTAAAAAGATAAAGATCATGTACAAATATTTAATTACCATTATTATGATAAAATTGGGTGGGATCTCCATTCTACTTCTTTCTTTCTCTCTCTTTTATTTTAATAATGAAATGTTTAATTAGTAAATAAATTAAAAATGATAAAAATCATGTACAAATATTTAAATATCATTGTTGTAATAAATTTGCGTAGTCTTCATTTTACAGATTTCTTTTTCTCTCTTTTAATTCACTAAATGCTTAATTGGTGAATAAATTATTTTTTGAATGTTAAACTTTTGAATATTAAAGATGCAAAATTAATAATTTTACTAAAAACAAAATATTTAATATATAATAAACCATAAAAATTAAATGTTTTTAAAATATTTCCTTTCTATTTCACATATGTAGCATGACAAAATCAATTAATTATTGTATAAAAGGGAAGTTATATATTTATTTTTTTGGATAAACAAAAAAGAAGTTATTAATTTTGTATATATAACATGTACAGTTAGTAGGCCAATTAAGGAAGGTTGTCATGCAATTTGTTATAATACAATTCATTCTGGCTCTACTCCACAACTTTTCCCCATTCTCCTTTTCTTTATTTTAATACATAAAATGTTTAATTCATAAATAAATTATTATTATTTTAATGTTAACTCTATCCAAAATAATTTTTTTTTTTACTAAAAACACAAATTACTTGTATATGAAAAACATAAAAGTTAAATATTTTTAAATAATTTCTTTCCTTTTACATTATTAACATAACAAAACCAAATAAATATTGTAAAAATGAGAATTTGTATATATTTTTTAAGGAAGTCATTGTAATAAACAAAAGGAAAGTTATTAAGTACTCAATGAGAGTATTAATTGTGCATATAGCATTTATGATTGGTAGTGTATAAAAAAATTCATTGGATCCAAATTTAGTTCTTAAAGAAGTTATTAATTAATTTCTAAAAATTATAAATATGAACATTTTAATATGTTATTTATTGAATACAAAAATTAAAATATCTTATTTTTCTAAAAAATTATTAAATACATTAATACATATATTATCATTTAATAATTTAATTTAAAACTAAATATTTTCCATACAATTAGTATGCCAATGGAAGGTTGTGCAAGTTATTTTGTTTTTGTTTTTTGTTTAAAATACATATATTTTTATTAAAAAATTATATTTAAACTGAGAGAATTTATAATATTGTAAAATTAGTTCTTTTTATAAGATTTACTACATGTATAATTCTATTCTATTTTGAAAGGATGAATAAAATAAAGACGAGTTTTACAGTAATTGACTGTGTAGTCTCTTGATTGGCTATAATTAACATTTTTAGATTAAATTTAAGATTCGTAAATAATTAAAATGTTTTAGTATAGAATAATAATTATTGATTATATAAAAAAAAATGCATTGTATGCTTTTAAAATGAACTGTATTTACATAACTAAATTTGAAAAAGATTTAATATAAAACATTTTTTAATAAAATTTATTTTATCATATAACAAATTTGATTCTTTATTTTGAAAATGAGAATTTTGTTATTATAACAATACACACACACACACACACATTTAATATTATACATTTTTACAATAATTTTTAAAAATTATTATAATAATAACATGATATTTTTAATTCTTAAAATATATATTTTCTTATACTTTTAGGTTTTGAAAAGTTGTAATAATAAATATTTATTAAATTATCTATGTTTGTTTATATTTAAATAAACTCTATATATGTAA